TTTGGCTATAGGCTGCATGGACATGCTGGAGATACAGAGGAACAGAAAGCAAGAAATCACCCCCTGGGGGGAATGGCCATGCCACAATCTCTTCTCCTCCATTCCCTTTCTGGATTTTGGGCATGGATGCACACAAGTGAGTTTTAAGCTGCTGGGTCGAAGACTTGAACTGCAGTCGACTACATGAGAGTCCAGTGATGTAAACATTATGCCATCTGCTGGTCCCAAGCTTACCACATCATGTACACACCATTAGCTCAGCATTTCTCACAGCCTTGAAATCGTTTATGTATCTGTTGGTCTCCCCTGCCAGTCCCTAAGCTGCTAAGGTAAAGCACATTAATTAGGAAATTACATTTATTTACAATATGACATTTCTTAAATATACTTGTATATTAAATATGCTTATAACAAAAGTACATACATATATTTAGTAAGTAGGAAAAACTAACACTCCAGGACGAGCAGAAGGTATAATGGTTGCATCACTGGACTTTCATGTAGTCAATCGCGGTTCGAGGCCCAGCCCTGGTGGCTTAAAACTCACACCACACACACGTGCATATGTGCCCAAAATCCCAATAGGAGAATGGGGGAGAAGGGATTGCAGCATGGCCATCCCCCATAGGGGGTTATTTCTCATTTTCTCTCTCTCTCTCTCTCTTTCTCTCTCTCTCTCCAATGCAGCATCCTATAGCAAAAATCTCTCTAATAAAAAGGGAAACCAGCAGTTAGCGTAATGGCTATGTCACTGGATTCCCACATAGTCGACCGCGGATCGCATCCTGGACCTGGTGGCTTAAAACTCACACCGGGTGCATGTGCGTGCCCAGGATCCCGAGAGGAGAATGAAGGAGAAGGGATTGCGGCGTGACCATCCCCCCTGGGGGGTGATTTCTCGCTTTCTGTCTCTGTCTCTCTCTGTCTGTCTGGCGAGCGCATGCGCCCTATAGTGAAAACCTCTCAATAAATAAATAAATAAATAAAAGAAGTAAAAAAAGAAAAAGGAAAATTAATGGTCCATGATATTCCTTACACTGCAGTTTTGTTTTGTTTTGTTTTTTCAAATTCACATCCACTACCAGGCTATGTTTGATTGATTCTGTTTCTGTGTTCTGGTACTTCGCACAGTGACTGGTCCATAGAGAGATTCAGTAAATATCTGCTGGGAAAAACAAATAAACAACAACAAAAAAAAAAACCTTTCTCTATCCTGTTCCTGGGATTGTGCACATGGATACACATGCACCCATGTTTCTTCAAGCTCCCCGTCTGGGACTCAAACTGCAGTTCGCCATGAGGATCCAGCAACCTAATCCACCATGCCACCTGGTGACTCGGATTAGATTTTTTTTTGCTATGAGGTAAACAGTAACGGAAGGCCATTGAGCAAAGTGGAAACACACCCTCTGTAAGGGTCAGTCTATCTATAATGTGTTACTTTGGCTCCTGCCTGCAGGCTCCTTGGCCAACACACACCCTTGTAAACAAGCCAGTCTCCCTCGTGCTGGAAACCAGCTGTCCCCTGACCTCTGTCCTGTGTGACACTCGCAGTGTTCCTGTCACTCTCCTGCAGCCTCCTGACCAGCAGCATCTGCCTCTCCTGGGATTTAACCTGCTTTCTAGGCCATGTCACCTTCTAGACGGGCAACCAGGGCATGCTAGCCAGACGGGGTTCCACATTCCCTGACCCTGGGTGACGTGGCCACAGTTTCCGTAGGTTTCCTCACAGCCACGCTGCCCCCCACACTTTTCTATGGGTCATAAAAATCCTCATAAGTCCTCACATCTTGCCAATTTTTCATCTTTTCTATGGTTTCATCACAGTAAAGATTTTAGTTTAGAGGGCCAGCAGGTGGCATGGTGGTTCAGGTACTGGACTCCCACATGGTCGACCGCAGTTCTAGTCCAGACCTGGAGACTTGAAAATCACACTGGGCACGTGTGTATGCATGCATGCCCACAATCCCAGGAAGAGAATGGAGGAGAAGTGACTGCAGTGTGGACACCCCCCAGAAGGTTATTTCTCACTTTCCCTCTCTCTGTCACTCTGTCTCCCACAATCGCCCACACCCTATGGCAAAGCCCTTTAAAAACCGATATAAAGATTTTAGTTCAGTACTTTCCTGAGCAGGTGAGTGAACTTGCTGGATCTCTCCCTCCCTTTCTTTCTTTCTCTCTCTCTCAATAAATAAATAAGTAAAGACTAAAGATTGAAACCGTCTATCGATTGGTAAAGTCCACCCTAGACCTACTTCATGTTCTTTCCATTTTTATCAACGTTATTTGCTGACTTCGGGTATCATTGTAATCAAATACTGAATTATAGGGTCTGCTTTTAACATTTCTGTCTTGAAACAAAATATGGGCTTTAATTCACTCATTCACTGGTAATGCACTTAAAAAAAAAAAAACAGTGGCTTATCTAGAGCATTTTCAGGTTTATAGGAAAACTACTGAATTCCCTGTACCCTTGCCCACCCACTTCCCCCGTCTCTGTCTCTCCCTCCCCCTCTCCTCCACTATCGACCCCCTGCACCTGAGCGCACCTGAGCCCCATCCTCCCATACTGGCAGGGGGGGGCCCTGCAAGCCTGCTCCGTTCCGCTGAGGTCTGCGCGGGTTTCTGTCGCCACCTGGTGGCCGTTGTCTCTACTGTCTCTCGCTCTAGGACCTGGGTGACGCTTTCTAGGGACGCGATTTAGGCCGGTTCCCACGCAGAGGTCCAGGGAGCTCCAGGTGACAGCAGAGTCCCCTGAGGGCGATGTCAGGACATCGGTGCGCCCTCGGTTCTGCGGAGACTGGACCTCACACCCCCGGGCCGGGTGGGGAGTGCAGGGCGGGCCGACACACGCGGGGACTAACCAGGGCCTCCCCCAGGAACGCAGGAGCCCCCGGGCTTCTTTCCCGAGTCCCGACCCCCAGACCGCCGGCCCAGACCGTCGGGGCCGGCCCGCGTGGGTCCCAGTGTACCCGGCCTCGGCCTCTCTGGACCTGCCTTCGCTTTCGCCTCCTCCGCCCGCCCTCGGTCCCGCCAAACACAGGGGGGCGGGGGCCTTGCAGCGGAGGGAGTCGAACACGTGTGCGTGCGTGTCCTGGTTTGTCCTGCAGCATGGCCATCCTCCCCGGGGAGATTTCTCACTTTCCCTTTCGCTGTATGTCCCTGGCAAGTGCATGCGCCTTATGGGGAAAAAAACGGACATGTAATGTTCGAATTGTAAAATGTGTCACTTGGGGCCAGCCAGGGGTGTGGTTAGACAGCTGCATCCACACGGCTGACTGCAGTCTGAGTCCCAGACCCCGTGCCTTGAAAAACGTGCAGACACATGCCTTCAGCAGGGGGAAAATAAAATCTGTCATCTTAAGGGGAACATCCATGACTCTGCCCCTCCCCACAATGTTGTGTGGCCATGGTCATGCCTTAGTTCCAGAACAGCGTCAACACTTCAGAAAGAAACTGCTCCCAGTGAAGTCACTTCTTAGTCTCTTTCCTTTTCTTGTGAGAGATTTTGGCAAAAGGGCGCATGCACTCGCCAAAGAGACAGAGAGAGACAGCGAGTGAGAAATCACCCACCAGGGGGGAGGTCCCACCGCAATCCTTTCTCCATTCTCCTCTCGGGATTTTAGGCATGCATGCACATGCACCTGCCACGAGTTTCAAGCTCCAGGTCCAGGACTCAAGCCATAGCCGACGATGTGGGAGTCCAGCGATGTAAGCATTATGCCATCTACTGGTCCCTGAAGTCACTTTCTATTCTGTCCTGTCCCCAGCCCCTGATAACCATCACTATGGTTTGTTTTTGTTTTTGTTTTTGCTATAGGGTGCAAGTGCTCACTGGAGAGAGAGACAGAGAGGAGAGAGAGGGAAAGTGAGAAATAACCCCCAGAGAGGATGGCCGTGCCGCCACCCCTTTTCCTCGATCTCTCCTCTAGGGATTATACACACACACACACACACACACAAACCCAGCCTTTCTTTTCTTTTCTTTTCTTTTTTTCTTTTTTCTGTCTCTAGGGATCTGTTTATTCTGGATATTCTGTGTCGATTAAATTACACAATATGTTGCTTTTTCTGTCTGGCTCCTTAGACTTACAATCACATTTCTAAGATTTATCCATGTCTTACCATATTTTATATCTTTATTCATTTGCTTTATAAAATCACACTGAAAGCCATTAAGATATTTCCTTTTTCCACTTGCTACCTAGTCTCTTCTAAAAATTGTGGTAAAATACACAGAACATTTACTTTTGATCCCTTCCTTAAGGTTCCCCCATGTCTTTTCTTAAGTCGAAAGCTCCTTTCTTTTCAGCGCTGGATATCTCGTCTGCCTATGCTACAGTTTGCTTATCCATTCGTTCATTAATGGACCCTCGGGTTGTTTCTATGGTTTAGCTTTTGTGACTAATGTGGTTATGCATGTAGGTGCAATGAAAATCTCTTTGAACATGGAACCAATGCAAAGTCCACAAACAGATAAATGGATTGAAAAAGTGTGGCACATATACTCCATGGAATACTCTTCAGCCATAATTTAAAAAAAAAAAAAAAAAAAAAGACCCTGGCATTTTCTAGAAAGTGGACAAACATGGATGTATTGCAGAGTGCAGCAAGTCAGGCTATGAAAGAGAGACATTGTATGTCCCCACTTAACATATACCGACTGGGACCAGTAGTTGGAATGATGGCTATGTTGTTGGACTCTCATGTAATCAACCACAGTTCAAGGCCCAGACTTGGCTGCTTAAAACTCACGCCACACTCATGTGCATATGTGTCCAAAATCTCAATAGGAGAATGGAGGAGAAGGGATTGCAGCATGGCCTTCCCCCCTTGGGGGTGCCTTCTTCCTTTCTCTCTCTCTTTCTCTTTCTCTCTCACTCTCTGGTGAGCGCATGCACCCTATAGCAAAAATTTCCCTAGTAAAAGAAAAAGAAAAACTAATACTCCACGATGTTTCTTACAATGCACTTTATTTGTCAAATTAACAGATAGTACCAGGCCATGTTTGATTGATTCTGTTTCTGTGTTCCGGTACTTCGCACAGTGACTGGTCCATAGAGAGATTCAGTAAATATCTGTTGGAAAAACAAACAAACAAAAACCTTTCTCTATCCTGTTCCTGGGATTGTGGGCTGCATACACAAGCACCCACGTGTTTCTTCAAGCTCCCTGTCTGGGACTCACACTGCAGTTTGCCATGGGGATTCAGCCACCTTACCCACCATGCCACCTGCTGGCCGGAATTAGATGTTTTTGCTACAAGGTGAATGGTAAAGCAAGGCCATTGAGCAAAGTGGAAACACACCCTCTGTGAGGGTCAGTCTATCCCTCACTGTAATGTGTTACTTTGGCTCCTGCCTGCAGGCTCCTTGGCCAACACACATCCTTGTGAACAAGCCAGTCTCCCTCGTGCTGGAAACCTGCTGTCCCCTGACCTCTGTCCTGTGTGACACTCGCAGTGTTCCTGTCATTGTCCTGCGGCCTCCTGACCAGCAGCGTCTGCCTCTCCTGGGATTTAACCTGCTTTCTAGGCCATGTCACCTTCTAGACGGGCAACCAGGGCATGCTAGCCAGACGGGGTTCCACATTCCCTGACCCTGGGTGACGTGGCCACAGTTTCCGTAGGTTTCCTCACAGCCATGCTGCCCCCCACACTTTTCTGTGGGTCATAAAAGTCCTCATAAGTCCTCACGCCTTGCCAATTTTTCATCTTTTCTATAGTTTCATCATAGTAAAGATTTCAGTTTAGAGGGCCAGTGGGTGGCATGGTGGTTCAGGTACTGGACTCCCACATGGTCGACCGCAGTTCTAGTCCAGACCTAGCAGCTTGAAAATCACACTGGGCCCGTGTGCGTGCATGCCCACAATCCCAGGAAGAGAATGGAGGGGAAGGGACTGCAGTGTGGACACCCCCCAGAAGGTTATTTCTCACTTTCCCTCTCTCTGTCACTCTGTCTCCCACAATCGCCCACACCCTATGGCAAAGCCCTTTAAAAACCGATATAAAGATTTTAGTTCAGTACTTTCCTGAGCAGGTGAGTGAACTTGCTGGATCTCTCCCTCCCTTTCTTTCTTTCTCTCTCTCTCAATAAATAAATAAGTAAAGACTAAAGATTGAAACCGTCTATCGATTGGTAAAGTCCACCCTAGACCTACTTCATGTTCTTTCCATTTTTATCAACGTTATTTGCTGACTTCGGGTATCATTGTAATCAAATACTGAATTATAGGGTCTGCTTTTAACATTTCTGTCTTGAAACAAAATATGGGCTTTAATTCACCCTGAGCAGGTGAGTGAACTTCCTGGATCTCTCACTCCCTCCCTTTCTCTCTTTCTCTCTTTCAATAAATATATAAATAAACTTAATGTCTGAAGATTAAAACCTTCAATAAATACATAAATAAACTTAATGTCTGAAGATTAAAACCATCTGTAGACGTTAAAGTCCACACCTAAACCTACTTCATGTTCTTTCCATTTTTATAACGTTATTTGCTGATTTCAGATATCATTGTAATCATATACTGAATTATTGGGTCTGCTTTTAAAATTTCTGGGGTTTTTAAAAATAATTATTTATTTTAATTTATTTTTAATTTGACAGAGAGAGTCACAGAGAGCGAGAGAGGGAAAGTGAGAAAGCAAGCCACCACGTCTGGGACTTGAACCGTGGTCAGCCATGTGGAAGTGTCCAGCGCCTTAGCCACCACGCCACCTGCTGGTCCCCTAAAATTTGTTTTGAAACAAAATATGGGCTTTAATTCACTCATTCACTGATAATGCACTTTTTAAAAAAATAGTTGCTTATGTGAAGCATTTTCAGTTTTATGACAAAACTGAAGAAAAGTACAGAATTCCCTGTACCCTTGCCCACCCACTTCCCCCGTCTCTGTCTCTCTCCCCCGTCTCTGTCCTCCACTATCGAGCCCCTGCACCTGAGCGCACCTGAACCCCATCCTCCCATAGTCCAGGTAAATGCTCCCCAACCTGCAGGCCTGCTCCGTTCCGTGAGGTCTGCGCGGGTGTCGGTCGCCACCTGGTGGCCGTTGTCTCTACCGTCTCTCGCTCTCAGACCTGGCGACGCTTTCCAGGGATGGGATTTAGGCCGGTTCCCACGCAGAGCTCCAAGGAGCTCCGGGTGACAGCAGGGTCCCCTGAGGGCGGTGCCAGGGCATCAGTGCGCCCTCGGTTCTGCGGAGACTGGACCTCACACCCCCGGGCCGGGTGGGGAGTGCAGGGCGGGCCGACACACGCGGGGACTAACCAGGGCCTCCCCCAGGAACGCAGGAGCCCCCGGGCTTCTTTCCCGAGTCCCGACCCCCAACCCG